GTAAAATATATTAAAATAAATATTTTTCTATGTGTGAAATATATTTACATATGACATAAAATAAACTTATAAAATGTATTGAAAACTCTTTTTTTTATTTCGATATAGAATAAAATTATATTTATTTTAAACGATCATATTTATTTCAATTCGATAGCTGTCGTATTATACGTATATCTTGTTTCATTTTTTGGTTAGGCACAATTTAATTACAAATACATGGTTGTTTATTGCTGGAATACAAGGAGAATTGTCAGCAGGGTCGGCGAAGTAAATCTTTTCTATGTATGAAGTTTCGGTTGGAAAAGGATGGCGAGGAGGAGGGTTGACATTAATATTTTAGACTGTACTTTCATGTATACGTTTTTATTTTCATGTTTTATAAAGCAAATGTTGCTGCTCTTATTTTGTTTTTAGTTAGTAATTCGAAATCTAAATCTTTAGCAATATCCTGATACACATGTAAAATTGCTATATTATTTAAACGTTTTTGTAACATTGTCGCTCGAAGAAAATTTTTTAGACGTCTAAGCGCGGAAAACGATCTTTCGTTTAGAACACGACGGACCCGGAATTATTAATAGTATTTTAATTAATTTAATGAAACTAATTATGTGTCAATTAAGTGTTAATGAAGTGTTTATTAAGTGTTAATTTAGTGTTTACTTCTGACGAGTTCTGACGTATGTACGGAATTCCATAACTTAGAAATTTGTATGTATGGAGTGCTCCAGACCGACCCTACTGAAATCGCCGGCCCTGGTTATCAGCAAATATTTTACAATTCTATTGATTATTGTTTTATTAAATACAAAGAATAAATAGGCTAATGAGAGTAAACTCGCTGTTATTAATGCGAAATCACAAAAAACAATATATATTCGTTAACAATCAAAAAATGTCATATATAAAAAATTTAGTATTTTTTATATATGACATTTTTTGATTGTTAACGAATATATATTGTTTCTTGTGATTTCGCATTAATAACAGCGAGTTTACTCTCATTAGCCTATTTATTCTTTGTATTTGAAATTTTCGAGAGTCGATTTTTATATTTAATTGTTTTATTAAATGTTGCAAATGTTGTTTTATTAAAAAATACTCGTATTTTAATATAATATATTTGCAAAAATTTTCTTTATATATTTTTCTCGATTAATCCAGACGATTGCAGTGAGTAAATAGCCCAGTAAGAAATGACAATGGAAAGATTATCACAAATTATTATATCTTGCAACATTTTTGACACACGAAATAAGATTCTAAATTTTATTTTTTATAGGAAATGTCATTAAAATATATCTTCTCTTTATCTACACAGATTCTTAAAGAAGGATTGAACATTGTATCATTCAAATTAATATGTAATCTCTTTTTTTTTTAATTACAAACTTGCATGTTTTTTTATTGTTTAGGTATTACTTCGTTCGCGTATATTAGCTTAAGGTTAAAAAAAATCGTTCACCCTGATCGAGCGTATGAGTGATAAGGGCAGGTGTATCGACACACCTGCGTCAACCTAGATAAGCTCTCGGTCACTCGAACAGTTACATAAACCGATTCACATTCTCTCTTGAGAATATATAAGGCTATGTAATAAGGAATGATTTGATACATGTTATTATACTGTTCTTTAATATTAACGTCGTTTCCTATCACCATTTACGAATGTATTGTCTTTGAACTAGTTTCTCTTTAAAACATTATAATTACTAAAAGTTTTTTTGCGATTTAAATAGATTCTACACAATTCGAAATTCTAGATTTTAAATTCTAGAATTCCAAATTCTAAATTCTAGAATTTAAATTGGATTCTGTTCGGATAAAGATGAAAGTATATGAATGTCCTATAAGATTATATAATCTAAGTGCGATGAAAAGGGATGTTTATCTGAAAGTCACTCGAGGAATTTTTTTGGATTCTTCACAAGCCCACAAGAAAGATCTCGTGAGCAATTTGAAATTTTATTTCTCTTGAATTTTCCCTTCACAATCAAGGAGTCGAATAAAAAAACATCAAGTGCTAATCGGATGCTTCATCGAATCGAACGAGACGCGTCTTATCGGACGATAAGTTTGGAATCGATCGGGGAGTATATGCGACTTGCCTCCTCCCCTTCTCCCAGTATACGAAATCGTCCCTAATTGTCCACAAATCGACGGCCACCCTCCATTTCCCGAACCGTTAAATACAACCACCCGAGGGCTACCGTTCCGCTGACCCCCTCTAGACGTCGAGAGGGTTCGGGTTCACATCCCCGGTAGAATATGGATTCAATTACACCTCATTGTACTGCAGTGTCTATAAACAACGCTGTTTTCACAGCTGATAGTGGCCCACCGCGCTCTGCGGGTCGTGTACTCCGAGCGAGCACATACTGTACTTTATTTATTGTTAGATCCGCCTGGCCGACAATTCTAAATTTCAGGGAAAGCTTTTAACTCTCCTCTTGCTTTAGAATATTTTTACCGCAGCAAATCTTCCAAATTAGTAGTTATCACTGCGAAATTAAAATTTCCTATTGAGATTTAATTGATCAATAATTTTAAATTCAATACTTCACTCAAAATTATTAAATTAAAATGGTCTGCTTGTAATATAATCTTATTATACAAAGCCGCTTCTTCGATCAATTTTATAATATGTTTGAAACGAAAATAAATTCTTATTTTGAGTATATTAATGAGTTTTTAATAAACATATTTTAAGATTATTACCAAGAAAATATTCTTTATTAAAAATAATCGCCCTTAAAAGAAAAAAAAATTGAGTATAAGTCACTTTTTTTAGCAATAGAATATTTTTCAATGCACATGTGGACCTTGCGAGGGACGTTAGAATAATGCATACAAAATAGTTGCTAATCAAAGTCTTAAAGTTTTTAAAGTCATTACCATTCTTGCAGAGTCAAAAGAATCACGGAAGAATTACGGAATCGCGCATAATGAAAGTTACGGCGATAATAGACTCTATTGCTCAGTCGGCCAAGGAAAACCATCGGGATCGTATAGTAGATCGAAGTGTTTCACCCCAAGCGAACATATAATAATGCAATGTAGGATTGAAGTTCCTTATCTTCCGAGTTACTGGCGGCTTCGCGAAGTTGCTAATGACAATAATGATGTGCGATAATGTCTGCCTCTGTAATCGGAGAGAAAGAGAGGGAGAGAGAGCGGGAAATGGGAACTCGCGACAGCGTCGCGAATGAGAAGGAAGAACCGAAGGATCGTGAGAAGACTTGCAGCCGTCGACGCCATTATCCCCGTTGAGTCGTAGGGCGCCGCGACGCCGCAATATCGACGTACCGCCCACCGTGTCTCCCCCGCGTCTCCTGTACTCTTCCTCTCATTGTTCTCTCTCTCTCTCTCTCGCTTGCTCGCTCGAATCCACCCTTGCTAAAACGCAAGGAGTACCTTTTAGGGCGCTATCAACACCCTCCGACGATTTCGGCCATCTTGCCGAAACTCTGTTTCGGCATAATGTTATCAAAAGTATCTTCGAATCACGGATTACGGACGCGGTTTGATGACTTAAAAGTTTCACACTAAGCTTGTGCTGACTTCGTGGCAAAAACGGTACAGCTCGAATAAGTTCTTCAATATCGTGAAAATAGATAAAAATGTATCCTCTAAGGAGAACAATAAGTCACGATAATATCAAAATGATGTTAAAATGAATTGTAGATAATTAAAAAGTGATTTTTAATGATTATTTTGGAGATATTTGACATCATTTTGATGTCATGATGATGATGATTGTTCTACTTAGACTTTTATTTCAATTTAATCAGGCTATTTTAATCAAAGCTTTTTTTAAAGATTATGTTTATCTTGATTTCAATGCAGTTCGCTAATTATGTTATTTAACTGATAACAACGTAGATGAAGTACATGGAAAGAATGGTTTGTTAAAGCATTTCAAATTTTAACTAGATGTAATCTAAAAAAATAATTTTGTTGGATTATAAATTTTAATCGTTTTTGTACATTTTTCGAGGAAAGGAATGAGTTAAATAATTTTTGGAGCCTGTAAGGTGAATGATAAAGGCAATAAAGTTTTACGGAACTACGTTTATTTGGCTTTGTTATTCACAATGGCAATAATGATGCTCACTATGCATCACTATTACGTCGCGTTAATTATGTATAAACGGTGCTTATATCCCATATAATTTCAGTAATTTCTATTTACAAAGTACATTTCGCAGAACGTTCGTAAAAATATTTCGTACAGTTGCACCGATTCGTATTGTACAAAATAACAAAACTGAGAGAATTAACCATTACAAAATAAATTCAAAATGAATCCAGTCTCCTTAGAAATAAATCAATAACTAAATCACAAATTATTTTCGTTCAGTCAGGTATTTCATACATGGTTTTTTAAAATTCTATCGAAAATATTCAGACTGCTTTATTATTTAGAAAATAAGGTATTAACAAAATTAAAGAATCAAAAATAAGTAATAAAAGAATCACGTTTCCATTTTTAAATAAAAGAGAGATTCCTATTTTTAGTTGAAGAGTCAATCTTGGTGTTTAATAATATAATATTTACATGCTAATTTACAAATACATTTTTCGCGTACTTTATAGGACTAAAAAATATATTTTTTAGAATAGAATTCTTAGATTTTAATATAGGATTTTTCTTCCGTTTGTTTGATTTATTATTATTCATCTAATTTCCATTTATAATCGTTTCTATTTTCTAAATAAAAAAAATTCTGAACTTCAAACGCGCGTATTTTGCAATGGTTAATTCGATTCACCGTGCTTTTTTGATAAAATCGCGAGAAACGTATAAATTGGTGACCATTTTTGTCGTCCAAAAAATCGGAGACCTTTGATGATCGTAAGGTACACATAACGAGGACCAGTGACTAGAAACATTTCCCTTAGACACTAAATAACATTCTAAATGAGAAATGTTCTCACAACCATACGATGTGTCCGATCCTCTGCTTATACTCGTAAAACAAAGTCAAATTCGCCATCTACTCGAACGTCGTACCATTTTTCGATGTTCGCGGATCTTCTGGCGTCCAGACTTTCGCGTACATCGTGCCGTTTGGTGAGATATCCGACTTTCTCGACCATGAGAGCGAGTGCGAGATGAATGGATTCCCACCGCTGCCTGAAAGTTGTAATTCAATGAAAATTAACCAAAATTTGGAGAATCGTGGTAAACTAAAATCGGCACATCGAATTTTATCTTAATATAGAAATTATGTTAAATTACTGATCTGAAAATACTATTATAAAACATCGGTGTCTTCATACATATTTTCTGAATTCTTTAGAATGAAAATTCATTTAAATAATTGAAAAATTAGCTAGTCTTGAAAAAGGTTGACTCAATTTACAAGCTTTGTTTTCACTTGTATATGGTTACCTAAAAATTAAAGGTTACCAAATTTGTGAATAAATTTTATTGATGAATCTCTCTTTTAATCTTTAATGCTTATAGATAATTATATATATTGTAAAAAATGACCTAAGAGTGAGATTTCATTCTTCAGAATAAAATTCACTCTCTAAAAGTTTTAGAAAATAGTAAAAATCAATTTTTACTAAAACCAATCTACAAGTCCTTCTAAAATTTTGTGCTAAATTTTTAACGTATTTATGCGTTAATTTAACATATGTATAATGTTTGTTAAATGTTTTGTATTAAATTTATATTAGACATTTCAATTAGGATTAAAATAACTATTAGTGTTAATAACAAATTGATAAGTAAACAAATAATATGAAAATAACATATATTTAATTTAAAACGTAAATTCTAAGATAAATGAATAAAATACGTGGTATAATCTAATATATGATAAGTATTAATTTCATTTGAAAATATGTATCCACAGTTTGCTTACAAATTATATTAGTATTATATTTTTTGTGTTAACTTTCTTACATAATCTTTGTGTTATTTTTTAACATGTTCATGTTAAAAATAACTTATGTTTAATGCGAAAATTTGAGTAAATCATTTAGGACACGTGAAATTTAATGTAAATCCATTGTGTACGATAAATATCTCACAATTATTTTTGCAATTTAAAAATATCGAAAATTAAATATTTGCTTGCGCGAAAACGAAGCGTGTAAATAGATAGAGCAATTACGCGCGATTCCCCAATTTTTTTATAATCTCTCAATTATCCCCGAACAGTAAATTCACCTCGAAGCACCTCGTATCTAACTGACACCTGTCCTGGAATAAAGGGTAGATGGGTAATTATGATAAATCGACCTACGATTTTGCACGGGGCGGAAATAGGTCGGTCCGATGTTAATACGTTGTGCACATAATATCGAAATAGCGTGGAGTGTGGCAGTGCAATTCTACATTATCAGAATCGAATCTCGCGGCACTATAATGAAAATCGAATTACAGATTCGACAAAATTTTAGCATGGTCCGATTTTGTAGACATTTGTCGTGTTGTAAAATTTAAACCGTATTAATACGCTGTTATGAATTTCAAATATGATACATGCATCATTTAAAATAAGCTCTCGACGTTGGAATTTCATTTCATTTAGTTTACGACTCAATTTTTCTTTCACCGACTCGTTGAAAGTATATTTCAGAAAAGCTGTATGTTTTAATTCTTAACTTCAAATAATTTTAATTCTAATCTATTCATATATATGTTTAACGCTAAAAATGAAAAATAAAAAAGTGAATTCACCAATTTTTTTGTGAAAAACTTAAAGTCAATCTCATTAATTTTTTCAGTAACTTTTAAGTAAGTAATTAGTTTAAAGATATGTAAGTTGATAGGTAGGGTACTCATAATACCCCCAAAAAATTATTAATGTTATATTTATATTTTTTTACTAGTATATTATGTAAAATATACTGATAATAAAAGTTAAATTTATATTAATTCTACTTTTTGACACATTTACCTAAACGGTCCATTAAAATTTTTATGTTAATTTAATATAAGATAAATATATTACAGAAAGTATTGCCATTAACTAAGTCGGAGTAACCGGCGCAGACATAGAGATATTATGTATAAAAGTTAACACAACAAATGTAATATTGATACATTTCGCGAGCAAATTATAAAAGTATATTTTTTCAATATAATCAATCCTTATGATATGTTAAATCAAATATGTTAAAATAAAATTTTAATAAGAATTTAAGTATAGACCATTTTCAACATAAATACAAAATGTTTCTTACTGTACTATTACAGTGAAGTGTGGCCATACTTATCCACTTAAAGATTAATAATTTAACAAGTTAATTTTTTATAAATAAACTGTTAATAAAAAATGTTTTCCTTTTAACATCGAATATATTGATGTATTAGTAAATTGATTATCGTGTTGCATCAATCGAGAACTGTTTGTATTATAAGATATATGTATAATCAAAATTGGCCTCACCACGGACTATAACCTTCTTAGATTCATCCCGACTGGAACACCTCGAGAGACCGCTATTGCCCGTCAAGGGGTCGTTACCCTTGTCCGCCCTGACGAGCTCGTTGAGGAAGTTTATGTAACCGATTGCCAGCTTCAGCGTGTCGACCTTTGATAGCCTCTTCTCGTATGGCAAGGTCGGTATGTGAGCCCTCAAGCCCTCGAAGGCATCGTTTATATTCTGCATTCGTCTTCGCTCCCTCATGTTCGCCGCCTGCCGTTGCTGAACTTGTACCTGTCTCGGACATTTTCCCGACGATCCGCCGCGCCGATTACTTCGACTTCGTCTACGGGCAAAAATAGCGAACCGATTTCTGTATAAATTTGTAAAGAGATCAAAAAAATTCAATTTCGTTCGTAATTCATTATTCAAATACTTCAACATTATTTGCTATTTATGAAATGTCAATTTTAAACATTTTTGATACTTGAAATTATTATCTTTAGAAAAAATTATCTAATATTTCAAAGCAAATCTTATCGAATTTTAAGTCAGAGAACTGCGCATTATAATTATACAGAAAATAAATCCTGATGAAATAAATTGGTTTTTACATATGCGAGTAATTTAATTTATAATGTAATAATCAAAAAGATGTCATAGACATTAAGGCTTAACAATAGTTATTTAACTGTAGTATCAAAAATACTCTGTGTGAATATATAAACTTTACTGCACCATAATTCGACTATTCATCATTGAACCTTGTGTCTGCAGCAGCTTTTGTTTACTGCAAATAAGTTATCAGCTACATTATATGTGAAAACTAACTCATTTTAGCAGAATCCAATTTTCCATATACAACAATTAATACAGGATCCTTTAAAGACTTAGCAATTTCAAGAGGAAAGAACATTTCTAGATTTTCTATTAGACCGAGGAAGGAAAGGAAATCTGAGAACCTAAAATGGATGCCTTTCGTTTAATGACACAAGTCGACATAAATGTCATTCTCTATGAGTAACATATAACGATACTTGTGTCGATTTGTGTCACTAAATGGAAAACACCTGAAGTGAAGCAAGCATTTTTGGAGTACTCACTCTCTCGCGTGATTCTCCTGATCGCTGCTGTAGACGCTCTCGTTGTCACTGCTGTTCTCGTCATAGAGATAGTGCTCGCTACCGCTGGTGCTACCGGTGCTACCAGATGGATGATGAGATGACGGTATTTGCGACGGAATCGCCGCCGGAAGCGTCGTTGTGGTCGGTACCCCACAATGCGGCGGCAACGCCGGGATTGCCGGATTACCCAGGAAACTGTGCGCTTCATACATGTACTGCCGGTTCATCATATCTCGTTCGAGATTGTCCATCGAATACATGATGACAATGTTTGATGGCCAGTTCGCCAATAATCACTCAGATTTAATAATTATGGATCTCGCGGATATTAATTGTAATATACTTTCCTTAATCTAACATCCCTTATCGGATCTGAAGATCGATCATTAATTAACTAAAAATACGACTAGATTGTGTGACTAGACGTAGAACGACGAGACTGTCGTGTAACTCACGCCATGTAATTTTTCGCTCTAGACGTTCTGAATGATAATCGTTCGATTATTCGACGAGCCTAACAACTGAATTTCAAATCCACGTGAACGTGTCGGACGATTGCATAGTTTGCCGGAATTTCTGATCGTACCTGCACACCCTCGAACACGTCTCGAGGATTGAAAGATACGATCAACACGTGCCAGCGCGTGTGCAGGATAATATTTCTAAACAGCGGCACGTGTCTTGGCGAACCGCTCTGGGCACGTGTTGAGATTTGTCCACACACTTGTTAACACTTGGTACTCACGCCTCGAGATGCGTCGGTTCGTGTCCAACAATGCCACTTACGACATTATGATTCACTACTTACGAACGTCATCCCGATGATCTCTTATAATCGCGATACATGTCTGCGGGAGTAACATTCTCTTAATATATATTCTTATATTTCTATCCTTTCTTGACCATAAAATCTTCTTATATTTTACGCAGGATTTTAATTCGCTTTCTTACAGTTGCACAAAAATGAGAGAAATCGTGACATTAATTTATATCAGGATTCAATTAGTTATGTTGGCTTAAAATCTTCCCCGTCGTTCCTCGTTACTAATGTTACATTGCTGTTTGTTTTTATTATATTATTCAACGCATAGTTCTGTTTATTGTCTAGTTGCAAGAAATTTTTGCGTAAGATTTTTGGAGATCTTTTATAGGAAAATTGTAATTATACATGAATAATTGTAATTATATACATGAACTCTTTTGCTTTACATATATTTTTTTGTTCATTAATTAAAAATAATACTCTAAATTAAATTCCTTTTTGGCATCCATAAACGGATTTTTCAGTGAAGACATATAATACACACACACATCTGATTATAAATATTACGATTTGGCCGTTTTTGTCATCATATAGATTTTATCTCTCTCCGAAATATTTCTAGTACATCACCTTTTAAATTGCATTTTGCAATTTCACTGATGCTTCCCTCTGCAGATTTGCTAATTTGTTACAGCGATCGTCCACAATTTTCTAGTTCTTCCAAAAGTATATATAAAGTTCATTAAGAAAATTCTCTCATAAGTCCTAAAGGAAGTTCCCTAAATTGCACTTTATAGTTGCATTAACGCTTCAAACTTTCGCGAATTGCTGTCACGACTATTGTCTCTGAGTTTTTGCAAAACACAGCGCTGTAATTTAAGATTTCTCTCTTGAAGTTTCCTTGTTGTTATTTAGTTCTCTCCCACTGATAACTTAAACATATCCTCACAAATTTGCTCGTCAAAAGTAACATCGTCAAACCGTTCCACGTACGATTTTCCACAGAATTCACCACCGCGTGACTTCGGGAATATCCCTTAAATGCTCCTTCGGGTCGATCTTTACCGATTTCGCGTCCGAAAACTGGGACCTTTCGCAGCTTCCTGCCGACCTGCAGACCACCTACCGTGCCACCGATCGTTCAGGTGGCCTCTCGCTGGACTAAAATTGAAAAGCGATGAGCAGCAAAGCGGAAGCCATGCCGGGGTTGAAAGCCCAGCTACGACCCCATTCGTCGAGCGCGCGGCTGCCAGAGCCTGCCTACCCCTTGGTTGCTGGGGTAGCGGTGCCGCCTCTTCATCGATCTGATAAGGAACCGCCGTTGTTTCCGTCCTAGGAACAGCGTCCCGGAACGCTGTCGAGAGAACTGCAACCGATAGGAACGTATACTTTCTTGAAAATGATAAGATAAATTATATATATAAAAAAAAAATCCGCGCGATTTGTGTTTAGAAATCAAATAATGAATTTGAAAGAACGTACGAACTGGAACTTTGCCGAAATCGAATTCAAAACAGTCAAATTATAGTGATTTGTTTTATTTACCGAGAAAACTTATCTGAAATTGTGTAACATTAAATACTACATTAAACTGCCGAAGGTATAATACATATAATTGTGGTATTAAAATAATTTGAAATAGGCGTATACGATAGTTAAAAGACGTGAAATCTAGATTGACTGAAGGATCTTTAAAAACGTGACAATTATAATTTCAAATAGTTAAAAAATTACAGGACTCTTATTAATATTCAAAATACAACAATGTGATACAAAAGGCTAATAAGAGTCAAGCAACAATAAAAGAACCTCCATAATTAAGTTAACGTATAAGTGTGATATATTAAATATAAATATAAAAAACTACAGAAAATAAGAAACGTTCAACGCTACAAAATATAATATACATAACATGTTTCAGCCTTATATTTAGACCTTCTTCAGATGTACAAAAATTCTAACACAGTAAACTAATATTAAAAGTTTTAAGACGTCAACGGTTTTGTTAAATAATAAGATAAATGTTTAGTCAGAGAAACGGAAAATTGCTCATCAAGCGATTGGATGACCGATTGCGAAAATTTTTCGTTGTCTAGTGAGAACATAAAAGAACGTTATGTGTTATCAGAACTATAATATAAAAACAAGCACAATACCTCTCTCTGGTAAAAAAAAAAAAACACCTCTGAGTCCAAAAATTGAAAAAATCTATGTCAATGTTAAATTAATCGTCAATGATATGATGTCGACGGAAGTAAAAGATTATTATAAATGCATAACGTCCGATGTATAAAGAAAAATATCCGTCTAATTGTCTCAACGAACATAACTGTATTGCGAAAGATCTTGGTAATGCAAAGTCAAACCTTGTTAACAATCGGAGTATACGATTTATGAAGACCTTCTGTGTTTATTTGGAAATTAAGACTGTTTCCCTGTTTTTTAATATTATAATTATAATTTCTCTAACATGTTATTTATTTAAATATTTATTTTGATAGCAAAATTAGATATAAATGGTATACACTAAGAAAAATGATTGAAAATAGACGAACTATCAAATTCTGATTATGTCAATCAGATTCGCAAAGAGTATCGACTAATTTTATAAAATTATATTGTACATATAAGATTCAAATTATAAAAATATAAATAATACATGTATTTTGTACCGAAGTAAATTTATTAAACATTTTTCAATATTCTCTTAAATATTTTATTCCAGTATTAGAGATTCTAGCAAAACGATGTTTCATTCCAGAACCATCAACTATCTGTCTAGTTGTAAACTGTTTTGTATAAAAATAGTCGAAACTGTTTTGTATAAAAACCGCTACCCTTTATTATACGTTTGGTATCTTCGCGAAAAGTTTTCATCGCCGTTAGTTCGTTATTTGCGAACTTAGCTAACTATAGGTTTTGCCCAACGAACTTACAGAATTTTCAAGTATCTACAGTCTATAGCGACTACATGAATTCGTAATTGTCCGACAGACGCGAACGAAAGTCCATCGCAGTGAAGAAAGCCAGTTATAAACTGGCGAGCAAGAAAAACTTACGACGCTAAAAAGTAGTAAAGAAAAGTATATTAGTTACGCTGCTTTCACACTTATATATGCAGTTTATTATCTGATACATACATTTTGATTTATTTAATTTAGAGAGTAATTGGAACGAGATAATTTAGAAGTTAACAAAAAATTCCAATGAAAGATTGAAATCGCATAGTATATTCAATTAAATATACAAAATATCAAATGCTCAAACAATATTACATATTTTATGTCTTTGATTAAATATGCGGCAATCTTTTATACAATTTGAAAATTTCTGTAATCATATTCAAATTACCTCACTTTATTTTATAAAACGATAACGCATAATACATGTATATTACATAAAAATAAATGAATAGAGAGAAAATATATCATATTACAATAATAAGGTATGGATATGCAAAAATATATATAATATATAAAACTTTATAATTTTCATGTTTAAAATAAAATTCTATTTATAACATTATTAATGAAATATAAAACACAATTAAAACATACGGAGAGATATATAAAATAATACAATTAAAATACATGGCATAAATTATAAATAGAGTTCTGATATCTAACATGTTCTGATGTGTGATATCTGATGTGTGAATTATAGATTGTTTAAAGTGAGCTTTACAGTTACATCATATTTATAATATATGTATAATACAAAATGTAATATACATATGTAGTTACATATACGTTATAATACATTATTATCATGTATCATTGTATCAAACTACGATATACGCAAAATATTTTTTTTACTTTCACGCAATTTATATATTTTTATTTCCCTCCAATTCTCTTATTAATTGCTAATTCGCTGCTGTACTCAAGTTTTCTCTTGAGAAGTTATTGCAAACAACAAAGAGCACATCGTCGAATCACGAATAAGCTCGTCATATAAAAGAAATTAGTCGCACGTGCAAGTCACGTGCGGTTGCAACGTCGCGGCAAAGGGTTGCGTTCCAGGTTAACCACTTCGGCGACATTTGGCCCTGTGTCGAGCAAACCTGTAATTATGCGTACCATAACAGGTACGATCTGATTTCTCTAACGCATTATTAAGCGTCGGATAATAATATTTAATAATGCACTGCGGCTCACAATATGTTTGCCGGATGCACGCTTGATTTTCTAACCAAGCAATATTTACTGTAATTTTATATAAAAGGTACCACGTGTCGGGAATAAAAGAAAAGTGTCACCTGTTTTGAGTTGAATGTATGTATTTTTTTTTTAGCATGACATAAAAGTCATCTCGAGAATTATTTAGAATTCGTATCGATTGCAACAGAAGGTGTATGAAAAGGGAAAGTTATTTTACGAATAAAATAAAACTCCAGCAATTGTTTATATTATGAAAAGCGCTTCACGAATATTATAAATGAAATATAAATAATTAATACCTTTGACACAACAAAATCGAATTATACTTTTCCTGCAA